GCAATAAACCCACGCTTCGACTCTCCCCCCTGCCCTGGCACTCACGTTACGGCTCCTCTCTTCAGTTATCGCCCCACCTGTGTGCCAAAATATCAGGGAAAAAAAGGGAGAAAACGTGCAGCTGTTGGTCGGGAGGAGCTCGTCGGGGAGTTTAATGGAACTGGGTTGGGTGGCTCCTCTGCGGGCAAAAGTCAGCAGCAAAATGGGGAAGAAGAGCCGGAGGATGGAGACCGTAAAGCTGGGTCTCAGTGTGCAGGAGGGCATCGGCGATGACCGTGCTGCAGCTGCTACCCCAGGGCTTTCTTCATCTAACCCGAACCCGCCTTCCAGACTAGAAACCTAATCCGTGTTACGGCAGGGGAGATGTCCAATCCGGAGTATCGACCGTGCGACACTAGGGTGTCTTAACCGACAGAGCAAGACGGTGCCACGGTCGGGTTTTCTTAATCTAATCCATGGTACAGATCAGAAATCTGTAGTACAGATTAGAGACCTCTTCTCTACTGGATTAGAAATCTAAATTCTACATCAGAAATCTGTATTACAGATTAGAGACCTCTTCTCTACTGGACGAGAAATCTAAATTATACATCAGAACTCTGTATTACAGATTAGAGACCTCTTCTCCACTGGATTAGAAATCTAAATGCTAAATCAGAAATCTGTATTACAGATTAGAAATCTCTCTACTGCATTAGAAATCTAAATGCTAAATCAGAAATCCGTAGTACAGATTAGAAATCTCCTCTCTACTGGATTAGAAATCTAAATGCTAAATCAGAAATCTATTACAGATTAGAAATCTAATCTCTATCAGGTATCTAAATTCTACATCAGAACTCTGTATTACAGACTAGAAATCTCCTCTCTGCTAGACTGGAAATCTAATCTGTATTATTGATTGTGCTACTGGTAGTGCTATGTTTGGGGTTTCTTAATCTATACCTCAAAATAGTGTTAAATTCAGGTTATTTTAATCTATATTACGCCTTGGATTTCTAATGTATAATTTATATAATATAATCTATAACACAATCTATACATTAAATATTATAGATAATTTCTATTACAGATATCTACAATACATAATGTATAGATTATATATATTAGAGACTCTAATCTATAAATTCCTAATCTCTATTAGATTTGCACTCTAATCTGTGCTACGCATCGTGCTATAGTGTCACATTCGGGTTTTCTTAATTCCTTTTTTCCGGGTCTTCCTAATTTCTTAGGCTTAAGAAAACCCAAATGTAGATGCACCTTAACCCACAGATTAAGAAAATTATAATTAAGAATAATTAATCTATAGCTGAAGGAAACCCGCAGGTAGCACCACCTCGGAACACGGTGACCTAAACGCCTTCGTTAACCTCACCGCTAATTGCCGGACTGACCACTCCACACCGGACCTTCTCGTTCGGCAGAAACCACCACGTTCACGGCAACGGGGGAAGAAAACGGGAAAAGCGCTTTGCTGATTACGGCGACGAACGTGCCGGCTTCGTCAGGCAAAGCTTTGCTGATTACGGCGACGAACGTGCCGGCTTCGTCAGGCAAAGCTCCAGGCG